TATGCCCATAGCCCTCAGCTTGTGTAGCAAGCGTTTGTGTGGTACCGTATCAAAAGCCTTTGAGAAATCCAGATATACCACATCTACCGGCCTCCCTCCATCCATATCTCTACTTACCCCCTCATAAAAAGTTAGCAAGTTAGTTAGGCAGGAACGGTCTTTCCTGAACCCATGCTGATTGTCATTAACTATCCCGTTTTCCTGAACAAATTCTACCAGATAATCCTTTATTATGCCCTCTAGCATTTTACAAACTACCGATGTTAGACTGACCGGCCTATAGTTCCCAGGTTGGCACCTAGCCCCCTTTTTGAATATTGGGACTACTGTAGCCCTCCGCTAATCACCGGGGATCCTACCAGTCATTAAGGAGTCCTTAAAAATGAGGATTAATGGTCTAGTTATAACCTGGCTTAATTCCTTAAGTACCTTGGGGTGCAGGTTATCCGGACCCACTGCTTTGTTTGCATTGAGCATTTTAAGTCTTTGTTGTATTCTGGTTTCCGTCAACCACTGGGGTATATTTTGAGTTAAACTGGGAGTTTTATCATGTGTGTCAAACCCGTTTCCCTCCTGAGTGTATACTGAGGAGAAAAAAGCGTTCAGCGCCTCGGCCCTCTCCTTGTCGTTTGTGACTAGCTTCCCGCTTTCATCCTTTATTGGGCCTAGCTGATTGGTTGCTGTGAGGTTCTGCTCCAGTTTTGATTTATATTTCTATTGCTGAAAGTTATAAAAAAAAAAACCCCGGTATACATGGGGAATTCCCGATCTATACCAGCTGTCAGAGTGACGGCAAGAGCTGCAAATTTCACTCTGCTCTCACTCTCAGACACCCAATTCCTGAAAGGTATCGGGTGTCTGAAAAAGGTTAACTCTTTCATTAACGGATGCCTCTATCCTGAGTCATCCATTAACTGCCTCCGGCCGCCCGTAGTAAAAAAACGGGCGGCCAGGAGCTCTCTAGATCTGAGCGGGCGTCTCTAGACGTCCGCTCAGACACGC